TCCTGCTGGTTGTAGGCCACCATGCCTTCAAATGTCTTTGAAACTTGGCAGCATAAATTCATATCGTTTTAAGGACCAAAGACACCCCTGGCATGCCTAGCTGTTGGCGTATGCAGCAAACTTATAGAGGGATGGAAAAGCAGAAATACAGGTGAAGGGAAAGAAAATGAAGAACCACTCTACAATTTCTCTTAGGTGGTCAGAGTGGTTTCAGCGTGGTAGGAGTGACAAAGTTATTTTTATCATTCGTAAGGTGGATTTGTAGAGGTACACAGCAGTACAGCCGACTTAGAGGCAGAAAGAGGCTTCACCGCTTCCCTTGGTCTCCTGTGCCAGACATTAGTGCCCCTTGCTGTTGGCAATCTGTGCTTTCTTTCTAACACAAACTGATCTGGTTTCAGTGTCCTCCAGTTAGGTCTTCTGGAGCTTTTCTCCGCTGGATTAAAGAGGCCTTTAATACTGGTATTTCCTCTCCAGCCAAGCATGGGATTTGCACGGGGCTTTCCAGAGTCAGTCAGGACAATTCCAGGTAGCAACGCCTGCAAGTTCAAACAGTTTGGACCCGTTTCTGGGGTCCCTTCCCGGCAGAGCAGGACCTGGCTCAGCACATCACCCTGCTGAAAGCAGTGGCGTAAAATGACCGGGCACAAATGCAGGTGACCGAATCCGATCTGGATCTCATAAAATACTGAACATGTTGACAGGCGCTGGGCAGGCCGCAAAGAGGTTCGGGGTCCAGTTGGCCTGTAAGAGGCTGGAAAGGAAGGTAACGTCACACCACTGTTAACTGAATCCGTTGCAGTAAGGAGTAGAAACATGCATTTCTTAGATCCAGGGAGCCCACGTTTGATCCCCAGAGAGGAGCTGGTCAGAAGTATCACATTGCTAACGTGCTTGTGTGTGCTGTCAAAAACCTCTTGGCTGAGTGATTATTGAGCTAGAAGTCTCATGGGGGCAAGTTTTCATATGAGATTCCTGCCATTTCCCACGTCTGGTTGAGCTGAAAGCACCACGAGAAATTGCCTTTCATAAGGCACGTCTCTTTCTGTTTGCTCTCTGGTCCTGGCCCCTATTCCCAAAGAGAATATAGGCTGTATTACACCCTCTAATGTTTAGAACAAGCTATGAACTTACATTTTCTCTGTGCTCGAGTCCAGTCTACACATTTGCAGTGCTGGAGCAGTGCCAATTCCCCGAGCTGGTGCTGGAGGGCTTGGGGAACTTGTAAGAAATAGCTACTCACGTCCCATCAGCTTATTGCATTGTAACACAAGAGGCAGGAAGCAAAACTGCTGCTGTAACTTATACTGCAGTGTGCAAGTGTTGTCCTGGGATTCTGGTTTTTGTAATGCATGTGTTGGTTTGCAAACAGGGTGGGGGGATATTTGGTTTGGCTCTGGCACGGCCAGGTAACACCATGATTCAAAAATAGCATGGGCCACTCTTCTTTAAATGAAATATAGGCCCCAGTCCAGGTACTTAAGCATATCCTTAGCCTAAGCGTATGAATGGGCCCTTTAAGGTAAATGGGGTTCACCTTATGTTGCAGCACCCTGCTGGATCAGAGGTCTCATCTCTGACGGCTGAAAGAGGTGTCTGTGATAAATGGATGTGAACTGGGTGAATTAACTGCTGTCTTTAGCTCAGAGCAGGTTTTATAGTTCCCTTTGCATCATCCCAGTAGTGCCAGCGGAGCGTCCCGGCCCTGCTTTCATTCACACGCCGTATTATGGAAAGGTCAGGAGTTCAGAGTCATTCCTAGAATTTTAATTTTGCAAAGTGTTTTGGAGAGGTTGACAGGCAGGTCTCCTAATGCAAAAAACCTGGTGTGCTGCCGGCTCGGGCTCCCGCTGAACCTGTGTTCTTTCACGCAGCCATGAAGGCGGATCGAAAACGCTTGAAGGCAGAGAAAACAGACCTGGTAAGCCAAATGCAGCAGCTCTACGCCACGCTGGAGAGCCGGGAGGAACAGCTACGGGACTTCATCAGGAACTACGAGCAACACAGAAAAGTAAGTCTAGCAGGACTTCCTGCATAGTCAGCACGCCCTCCCTCAAGTAGGGCTGGCACCTCACACCCCAAAATGATGTTATATATGTTCTTTATGAGCTAACAGGGAGAGTAAAGCAAAGCCCGTTACTCCAGGTGTGTGCACAGACCATCCAAACCTCGAGCTTGTCTGCATCTTGAACCCGGTGCACTCCTCTCTAGCTAAGAATCATCTCTCCTCCTGCCCAAAGCAGCATCACTGGGCAGCAGGGGACCAAGGTGGTCAGTGTTTGCAAGGAGCTCTTACCACCGGCCAGCTGAACCTTGTGGCTAGTGCCAGGGAGTCTCTTTGCTGCCGCTTTAGTTGTGCTCCAAGTTAAGAATGGGATAAATATTCAGAGAGAGCAAGAAATGGGGAACACACTTCATAATGCAAACAAAGGCCCAAGTCTGTATGTGTTAGGAGCCACGGAGAAGCCTAATGACTCCAGTGGGGTTACGTCAGCCTAGCCAAGCTCTGATTTGACCCATAAGGTCGTGTAAACAATCCTGTTTTAATTGCTGTACTCTGGCTTTGTATCGGCTCAGAGCTTGATGTTTTAAAGACGGCGTCAGCGGTGAATTGCAGCCAGATGCTGTCAAAACACTGCACGTTCCTGGGGCCCGAACAGAGCTGGCAGGTCAAGGTGCCTGTTAGAAAAGCCCTCAGGTAGAGGTGGAAAAATGCCTGCTATGACCCGGCTTCCACCCTCCCGAGACCACCAAGCGGCCACACTGCTGCAGTCCTTCCTGGATGCAAGTGTGAGCAGATGTGTGGGCCTGACCCAGCACCGGCTATCACACCCACCCTAGCCTACCTGAGCTCAGGAAAGCTGGGAGCTCCATAGCTTCTGCACGTGGTCTGTCCAAAGTCCCCAGGAGTCCATGGGAACCTTTCAGTTGACACCAGTGGATTTTGGATTAGGCCTTGAAAGCTCGGTCTTAGCCCCTCTCTCCCTCCCCTTTGCCTCCATTGCATATTAGAGAAAAGAAAACACCAGGAGTGATGCATGCACCATCATGATGACCTCTCATTCAACAGTCCAGTCTCTGCACCGCAGCCTGTTACTGTTTAATGCTGCCTGCAAATGTTAGCCTTGCAAATTGTCTTAAAAAGGACCAAGGGTTTGATTCCACCCCCCACTCATTGCAGTCAATGGCAAAAATTTGTGTGGTGCAGAGTCTAGTCCAAAATCTATTCACAGCCACATTACCATGATGAACGATCGTGGTGAAAAGATCTGGAGAGATTTGACTCCCTCATTTAAAAAAAAAAAACAACCCTGACCTTAGGCAAATAAAATCATGCAAAGCTACCGGTAATACATCTCGAGTCACTGAAATATGTTGCGAGGTACAAGGTGAAAAATAAAATAGGAAAAAAGTCATACTAGTGATTAAATTAGCAGAGTTATGTTATGTCACGCTGGAAAAACATCCATTGCAACAAGATGGTGTCTGCTCTATCCTTCTCTTTATGGGATGAAACTGTAAAGCAGGTTACTTTCAAGGACAGGTTTTATAGTTTCCCTTAAAGTTAAGAGCTTGTTAAAAGAACATATAAACTGCAGTGACTAGTTTAAGTTGCCTAATAATAAATAGCATTTCTCTGAGCATGTTCAGCCTCTCTGAAGTGTTTGCAAGAGGATATTTTTTTAGACACCGTTTCCTGTTTTGCTTTTGATTACGCTGTATAAAGCCATCCACTCAAATGAGCAGCCGTGGGAATCCAGCATCTGTAATTATTTTGGGCTTTTTTCCATGCAAGGAGAGAAACTTGCTATTTTTAAAGCATTGCTACAAACAAAGACCCCTTGAATCTGGTGGTGGACTTTTTGGGGAAATGATATTTTTCTGCCTCCCCAGCCTGAGAAAATCAATGCTATTAGCAAACAGCAACCAAACGCACAGGATGAACCCAGGGAGGAATGCATGCAGCTAGGGAAGGGGCCCCAAGCGCTCTTTCAGCGTGGGACTATGGAATGTCTCGCTGTCTCCAGCTTCTCCATGTGCTTCCTACAGGCTCACGCGGTGCAGTCTCCATGGGAGCCTCTGTCCATCTCGGGGGGGCTGTATTTGCAGAGAGGATGCATCCTCACTTGTGCTCCATGGCAGGCAGCCTGCGTATTTTAATGACTGATTTCCAGGAGCAATGTGGCGTATGAAATGACCCATGCACTGGGATATGGGTGACTCTGAGGTCATCTTCTGCATCCATGGAGAAGGATAGAAGACAAATCATCCTTTGAGCCTCACGAATAGTTTGCATTGACCCCCCCACCCCGGTCACTGGATTAGAACCGCACTAATATTGTGTAACAGCGCCTGTGTCACCATTGACCTTGTCTACTTTGCAGTTGGAAATTAAGCAAAAATATACTTGATTTTTCTTGGAAATGCTGGGCAGCCCCAGCTCTGGTCAACGGGAGCTAGAGTTTCTCAGTGTGTCTGGAAAAAGAAGGTTGTCTAATGTTGTCACATGTTTGTGGCTACTTAGGGGCATATTGTACTTCCCTAATGAGCAGGGGGGAGGATCTGCTCATTCTGAGTTGTGCCAGCCGTACCCTAGACTCAGCTTTAGCAGCAGTGCCAGTCCACCACAGAGTCGAGGGAAAAGTCCCTGTGTCCACCGGCCAGGAAAGCCACAATATTCACAGTAACAGTGTTGAAAGGCTCTTCTTCATAACAAGCTTCCTCCATGGTGGAGGGAACTAGATATAGCTTTCCCTGATTCAACTAATAGCAGCTTGGAAGTTATTAGTTGAATTAGGGGTGCACCTAAAACAGTGGCTCTCAACCTTTCTAGTCTCAAGACAAGCCTTGGAAGATGCCCTTGCCTTTCCCTCATTTTTTAACTATGGAAAAGTAATAGAGGAAGTCTTCTGTTGCCAAGAGCTCAGGAAGACCACAACAGGCTAGACTGGTTTTGACAGTATGGATTCCTGCTTCAAACCTTTTGAGTTTGCCTTGTGAATCATGTGCAAGGGTCTGCACATCTCAGAGTGCAGATATTTCTTGGTACCCATAAAAGGGTCTTGTGGCATCCTTGGATGCTACAGGGCCCCAGTTAAGAGTCAGTGAGCTAGAGGATCCAAGTAAGAGCAGAGCTTGGTTGTGCTAGGTGCTGTCACACAGCTGTGTCTCCAAAAGCTCATAGCCAGCAAGGGAGGGAAAGCAGATGCCTTTGTGGGGAGTGACTTGTCCAGGACAACAGAACAGCTTCAGTGCAGAGCCGGATGCCGAATGGCCTCTGGTTGCTCTGGGTAGGTTTGCAGGGCTTGGGCCCCATTCTGACAATGCCCCAAAACAGCGAGAGCTTGGGTTGGGGGCTCGGTGGGCAGTGGAAGAGGAAGAGGTGCTATGGCTGACGATTTAAGCCAGTGGTGTTCAACCTCCAACCCACAGGCCTGTGGCCCATGGGCGATGTTGTCTGGCTCGTGAGAATCCCCATGGGTCCAAAAATTTGGCACTGGGGGAACAGGATTAAATTGCCATGGCTTCCAGAGCCTTAGTTAACACTGCCACCTCTCTTCCAACTGCCAAATTTTGGGACCCACGGGGAACCCTGTCGGCTGAATGACACAGCCCCATGTGCCACATCATGCCAACATGCAAGGTCAGGCCACAGACCAGCCCCACACGCCATCCGCACTCCAGATCCAGTCCGTGAACTGACCTCACCCATAGGATCTGGCCCATAGACTGGCCCTGTGCCATTCGTCTGGTCTGCAGGGCTTGGAGGTTGGGTGCCAGTGATTTAAACGGATGTGCCTTCCTTTCATCCCTTTTCCCTATTAACTAAACCCTTTTTTTGGTCTAGCACTGGTTTGCTGATGTCATATGCAGAGCTGCTCCGGGAGTCGAAAGACCGCTGCTCCCTGCATCGCCTGCAGTGTTGGGTTTCTGCTTTTGTTGTAGGTTTTTTTTTCTGATAGGAACTTGCAGAAACTCATACAGTCGCATCCAGCCACGACACCCAAAACCACTCTCAGAATGTCCCTTAAGCAGTCCTCCAAAGGGAGTAAGGTGCTGATGTTTTCCAGTTGGGCTAGAAATAAAATACCCAAGTATCTGCAAAGCATGTGAGCTTGGTCTTATTTAACATAAGCTGCCACTCCTGTGTACTGATGCTTCAAATGCCAATCTCTAGGCTATCTAGAACTTGGATGTCCACTTTGCAGAGGCAGCTTGGAAAATCTCAGCCTTGAGGCTTCATCATGTGCAGAGGGGGAGAACCGCCTATATGGACTATGTTTTCCCTGGATCTTTTCTGCCAGTAGCCTTGAATGGGTTCTGTCCGAGTGTTTCCTCTCAGGTGGGTCCTTTGTCAACTGACTGGCAGAGTAAACCGAAGATGATGAGGTCCACTGGATAGAGGACCAGAGAGGGGAGTCAGCTAACCCAGGTTCAGTTCTTGTCTCTCCTTCTGTCTGCCTCTCTCTACCTCTGCGGGCTTCGTTTTCCCCTTCTGTATGAAGGGATGATTGTGCTTTGGCTGCCCGTTGGCATGGTTTTTAGACCCGTGGATGTGAAAGTCCAGATAAGCTCTAAGTACTCTTGACTCCAGAAGGTCTACAAAGCCCTCTGCAACCCCGACCTACAGAACAGACAAGGAGGGTGCTCAGATACCTTGGATGGACAGCAGTGCAGAACTGTATTTAAATGCATACATCAGGAACTCACTAAGCAGTATTTTTATTGCTTTGTAGTAGAAAGACAGCATGTTAAGCGGTGTTGGTAGCTGGGGAGTGTTTCCACATGATATCAATTATCCTATCACTGTCTTTGGAAGACCAAATGCATCAGCAGTTCAGGAGAGGCCAGGGGCCTGTGACAACAGAAAAATGGTGCATCTTTAGAGCAGCTGGGCTTGCAGTCTGTCCTGCCTGGACCTTAGATTTCATGGCACTAGGGGTTGGGATCCCGATGCTATCGCAAACCCCTGACTACACATTTCTGTCCAGTGTTCACCTCGGCACCCGTGTTGTGGTGAAATGCTGTCGCTTCACTACGGATGCCCGAGAGAGATGGGGCTCCAGTGGGGATTTTTGCCCCACGGGCAGGGTAGGTGTCACTGAAGTGGTTGGGTGGTCTCCTGGAGGGGTCTAGTCCACAATATGGTAAAGACACAAAGATGGTAAAGACAATTTCTTTCTTACCTTTGGTTTGTTGGCAGTTCAGTTTTGCTTATATCCTCACTTATAACCCCAGGGGCCAGCCTTGCATCCTAGCCTATACGTCACTGCTACAGTAGGAGAAGGTAAGGAGGAGGATGAAGAGGAAAGGTGAAGAGAGCCTGCTAATGGAGACACTGGTTAATGAAATCCTGGTCCCAATTCAAGTCAATGGGAGTTTGTGCCATATATTTCATTTGAAGGGTTCAGGTTTTAGCTGCTGTATTTTATGAGGCATAAAACACTGTCATGCTTTGTATGGTATGGACTTCTTGGGAAAGAGAGTTTCGTCCCTTCCTCACATTGCCCTGGTGTCTTTGCAGGAGAGTGAGGACGCGGTGAAAGCACTCGCGAAAGAAAAAGATCTCCTGGAGCGTGAGAAGTGGGAGCTACGCCGGCAAGCCAAAGAGGCAACGGACCATGCCAGCGCGCTGCGCTCCCAGCTGGACCTGAAAGACAACCGAATGAAGGAACTGGAAGCCGAGTTAGCCATGGTGAGAGCCCCCTGTCTTTAACTGAAGCTTTTTGTCTAGATAGGAGTAGTCGGAAACCTCAACTAGTCCAGAGGGAGCTTGCATGGTCGCACCTGGGACCTTTATCACCCCAGGTGATGTTTGTCATCACCACCTTGTTACTGTCTGCTTAGTCCATGTCCTGCCAAACCGTGACTTCAGAAGACATGTTTTAAAGGGACATGATCTAGAAACGACCCCCAATCCAGCCAAGTATGCCCAGAGCTCAGGTGTGCTGGAAGTCCGAATCCAGACCTGGATTGTGTGGCTGCTGTGCACTTGAAGGTGGGGGAGGAGTGTGTTTGAAATCCATTTCCACACCTGGAGGGTTAGGCCTGGCTGTAGTTCGAAATGCTGCTCTCGTCCGAAATGGAAGGCCTGAAAACCTCGTGCTCCGGTGAAATGCAGGTGGTTCAAAGGTCTGTCCTACAGTCTGAGCAGGGAGAGGGGCTGTCCTCACAGAAGCATGCTTGAGCTCAGTCTGAGAGTCCCTGCAGACGTGCCAGGGCCCACTGTGAAGTCGTACCAAGTGTGAAAGCAGAGGAGAGGACGTCCCTGGAAAGCTGTTGTGCCCTAGCAGAGTGGTTCAGTTGAGTAAGAGAGATGCATCCATGTTGGCCCCACCAGCCAGTGGAGCCATCTCAGGGATGAATCTAGCCTCTGGTGTTTCAGCTCAAAATGTTTGCCGTCTTCATATCATGCCAGCTTGCAATATGAACTCAGGGTTTCCCAGGGGCCGAACTTACCTGACACATGGTACGTGACTAGATTATGGAATTGCGGTTGCTGTCTTTATGGTAGCAGAGCTGCAGGGATGAGAAATGCCCTCGGTTTCAGGGGATTGAGATAGCAACCAAAGATAGGATTCCCATAAATAGACCCCCCCCCCCACCTTTGCCATCAAATCTCTGCCTTTTAAAAAGCAAAACCAAAGAATTCTTCCAAGTCCTTTTGCTTTTCTGACTGTGCCAACCAGCGTGGTGCTGAAGGCACAAGCGATGATGGAACCGAAGGCAGAAGGCAAACATCATTTAACTTAGGGATGCTGCTTAGTTGTGAGGCTGTGGATGCTCACCTGTATGCTTCCTCGAGTGCTGTCTACCCAGTGAGCTATGTGGACGAGGTAGAGGGCTGCATGCACCTCCGCAGAAACGTGACATAGGGTTTCCTTTCATGAAATAACGGCATTGAAATGCAACAACATCCATGCCACCCGTATCTCCAAGCGCAGGTGCCCGCACCTCCCCTTCCATAACGCAGCTCAGGTACACCAGCATAAGCAGCCTGTCAGCAGCCTCCTGTGCTTTCATTGTTCAAAGCAAAATTCCTGCCATAAAACAAAAATGACAGCTGGACTGAAGTCATTCTTCCCCCCTCAGCTTAGAAACATTTGCTGTTATTAAATAGATATATCACAATCTGTTGTGCGTGGATTCACCTTGGGCCTTGCGATTTCAGTATATGCAATCCCTGTTTGACTGCGACACCTAGTGTTCAAAGTCTGGGTCCGCTTCAGGGGTCTCCGCAGCCTCAACCCTTAGATGTTCAGCTGGAAGGAACGTGCTTTTTATCACCCAGCTAAGGAAAACGGGCTTCAAGAATGACGCAAACTCTCTGGAAATGCATTTTAACCATTTATATACCTTTCATTGGTCTGACTGTAGAGTGCTCCACAAACTGGCTGGGACTTAAGTCCAGAAGGGCATTCAGACATAAAGCCAGATTTCTGACCTCTTTAGCATGTACAAAGGCCCTTTATTCGCACTGAGTAGCACCTTTCTTTACTCAGCTGAAAGCAAGGGGAGTATCTGAAGCAAAAGGTGCTTTGCTAGAGGAATAAAGGAGGCCCAAGTCATTTCCATTTAGGCAATAAGGGTAGAGATTTCATCGCCTAGTTGCATGGCGGTCTGCAGTGGAGGAGGACTGGACTCTGTGACCAGAGTGCCCCTTTCTAGCCTTGTGGTCTACATTTCCTTCATGCATTCTTCAAGACTAACCTTCAGCACAGTGGTCTTAACCGGTGAGTTCACAGCAACCGGCATCTTTTGCAAGTATTTTAGTAAAGAACTTTCCAACCTTTGTAGCAGGGTCAGCCAAGGATCCCCCTCGAATAACTAACTTTGTTTTATAGGCGTGGTGGGGTTTTTTCCAACTGTTTCCCAGGGATGAGAATCTGATGCACGTGGCTTGAAAAAGCCTCTGCTTTTAAGCTTCTTTTCTTTTCAGTTAATCATTAAAATCACTATGGGTTCAGCTCTTTGGCTGGTATAAATACCCCAACCTCTGTGTATTTAGTGGAGCCAACCTGACTGGCACCAGTGCAGAACCTGGCCTGCAATGCCGCAACCTGGCTCCTGCATTAGTTGCAGCACATACACAGTTTGCCTATCTGACTGCAAGCCGTCAGCCTTCAATTTGACCCGAGGATGGAACTGCAAAAGGCTTACTTTCTGGTCTTTGCCTCTAGCATCTCCAGGTGACTCATTTAAACATTGAAAGTTTGCAAAGCACCCCTCAGAAAATGCCAGCTCTTGGTTTTAACTCATTTTTTGAGCACAGAAAAATAGTAAGAGGTCTGGGTTTATCTTGCAAATCATGTTTTCACACCTAACCCTGCTAACGTAGTGTGGCACCCTTGGAAGGACCTCAGGGCACCCCAGGGCGCTGTGAGGATCACTGATGTGAACTGTCATTGCAGTGAAATATTAACTGTTCCGATATTTAACCTGTGATATTTAACCCTTAAAAACAACCTGGTGTGATGCAGTGAGGTGACAGGGGGCAGAATCAGGGCACAGGTAAGGCAAGGGCAGTCCTGCCAGGCGATCTTGGAGCAGGAGAGAAGGGAAGAGCTCCACTGGGCTTTCAGAGCCCCAGGCGAGCTTGCAGGGCTGCAAGTCCGAGAAAACTATCTAGTACATGGAGCCCACTTGAGGCGGAAATGACTTGGACACAATTAACGGGCAGCTTCGTAGTAATGTTTATTTGAGGCAGAAGAAAAGTGCCTGGAAATGCTTTGAAAGGGCTGTTTATTGACTCTTTGCTGATAGAAAGAATAATAAAAAAAAAGGCTTATGGGTTGAGATCTCATCTATGTGGCCCAGCTGCAGTCTGGAGGGACTTTTTATAAGTAACTTATAAACCCTTGAAAATCAGGATGCTTACTGGCAATGCTGACCGACTCTTAACTCTGGAGTTGCACGGGTTGTGTCACCGCTGATGCCTTCTGCACATTTTCTGAGGCTGTGGACAGCTATAACTTTGCTTTAAATGGGGAGTGGCATTTACCACTGGAGGGGGCATGCGTGCGCTGCTCTGATTGAGTTGAATGCGCGTGAACAAAATCGCTAGAATGAAACAGTGAATGAAGCAGCATTAGTTGAAAGACTTTTGCTCCGCTTAGACCAGTAGAGGGAAAAACAGACGTGCCGGTTACTGGGTAGGAACGGTTCCAATATAAGATTCAACCCGTGCAAAGTTAGGGCTGTCCACAGAGAGTCGGAGATTACCAAATGAATGCATGCTTTGTTTGGGCACATTTTGCTGTGATTGCATACAGCTCACAGCCAGGTACGTCTGCATGAGCAGTTGCTCTGTGGAGAGGGTAGCATGCAAGACTGAGTGACTTGTGCCTTTACCTTTGGTCTGGGTGGCAAGTTTTGCATCACTTGGG